GTCGCTGTCTTTGTCGTTTTTGTCTTCGTTTTTTGTCGTTGTTTTTGTCGTCGTTTTTGTGGTCGTTTTTCCCGGAAAGGGCATAGGCCCAGGGTTCTCTTTTCCTATGTAAACATGTCCCCGGTGCCCAACTTGAAGGAGGCCGGCGGATTCTTTCCCTGATAAAATTCGAGGTCGAAGGAGGCCGGCGGATTAAAATTTGAGGATGTCTCAGGCGAAACGCTTGTTTTTGAAATCCCGATCGATAAATCACAGGGTGCGGGACACCTCAGCACGACCACACCCCCAGCATGACCACACCCCAGCACGACCACGCCCAGCACGACCACGCCCCAGCACGCACGACCACACCCCAGCACGACCACACCCCAGCACGACCACACCCCAGCACGACCACACCCCAGCACCAGCACGACCACACCCCAGCACGACCCGATCGATAAATCACAGGGTGCGGACCACCCCAGCACGACCACACCCCAGCACGACCCCACCCCAGCACGACCCCACCCCAGCACGACCACGCCCCAGCACGACCACACCCCAGCACGACCACACCCCAGCACGACCACACCCCAGCACGACCCCACCCCAGCACGACCCCACCCTAGCACGACCACACCCCAGCACGACCACACCCCAGAACGACCACACCCCAGCACGACCCCACCCAAGCACGACCCCACCCCAGCACGACCACACCCCAGCACGACCACACCCCAGCAGGACCCCACCCCAGCACGACCCCACCCCAGCAGGCCCCACCCCAGCAAGACCACACCCCAGCACGACCACACCCCAGCACGACCACACCACAGCACGACCACACCCCAGCACGACCGCCCCAGCACGACCACGCCCCAGCACGACCACGCCCCAGCACGACCACCCCCAGCACGACCACCCCCCCAGCACGACCACCCCCCAGCACGACCACCCCCCAGCACGACCACACCCCAGCACGACCACTCCCCAGCACGACCACACCGCCTTGTTGTGGTTGCTCCTGTTCGTGGGGTGTCTCGTGGAATGTTTCGCGGGGTGTCTCGTGGAATGTTTCGTGAGGTGTCTCGTGGAATGTTTCGTGAGGTGTCTCGTGGGATGTTTCGTGAAGTGTCTCGTGGGATGTTTCGTGAGGTGTTGCCCAGTTGGGTATCGTGAAAACGTGTCCATGTTCCACATGTCTATATCCCTTTCCGGGTTCGTGGGTCCATCATGTTCCTCCTTTTCCATTTTTTTGGGCGTCGCTTCATGGGGGTGGGCGATAAAAATGGGTGGGAGAGGGAAGCACGGTGCACCTTCCGGGCCCTCGAGGCCCCCCCTTCTCGACCCTGCAGGGCCCCTTTCAGGGGGCCCCAAAACGGGCTCACCTTCTGCAGCCCCTGTTGCCCCCCCCCCCCCATTCGTCGCCCCCCCATTCGTCTAGGGGAACGAACAGTGACATAGTTTATATATATATATATGTATATATATCTTTCTATATATATATATATATACAAAATAGATAAAGAAATATATATATATATATAATATATATAGCGAGAAGAACTCGGAGGTACGCGCGGATTTCTCGGATCGACGCTGGAGCCCCCTGGCGGCGCCTCCGGCGCCGCCCCTGGCGCGCTCCGCGCGCCACGGAGGGGGGTCCAGCGCCGACCCGAGAAATCCGCGCGGACCTCCGAGTTTCTATGCTTCTGTCACTGTTTGTTCCCCTGCTATCGCGGCCCAAGGCCTAGCATTAGGTCGGGCCTGTCCCCCTACAGAGGGACTTTGGCCGAAAAGTTAAGACTACCCCAAAAATATTCAACAATAGTCAAAAAATACTCCAGAAATCGATCCCGGACTATTTTCGGGCTATGTTTGAATATTCCTCCTGTAGAGTGACAGGCCCGACTTAAGCCTAGCGGCCAGAGCAGCCCCGGAGAGACTGCTCTGGTCCTTCGAGCGCCCCGTGCGGCCTCTTCTCCGGGGGTCCAGGAGCCGGGGCCTGCCACCGGCACTCGCAATTGGGCCCAAGCCGAAGGAGCGCTCAACCGCCCTCGAGAAACAGTCGGGGCGTTGACCTAAGGAGCCCTACATGCGAAGCGAGGCCTTTTCCCGGAAAGGGCAAAGGCCCAGGGTTCTCTTTTAGTTTGTTTCCCCCCGGTTTTGACGGCTGTAGGGCCGGCGAATTTCTTTTGCGATAAATAACGAGGTCGCGTAGGGCCGGCGAATTAAAAATTGAGGATGTCCCTAGCGAAACGCTTGTTTTTCAGAATTTGTTGAGGATGTCTCGAGCGGAACGCTGGTTTTGCAGAGTTGGGGATGTCTCGAGCGAAACGCTTGTTTTCAGAATTTGTTGAGGATGTCTCGAGCGAAACGCTGGTTTTGCAGAGCCGACCGCGACACGGAAAAGCGCCCCGCGCGCAGGAATTCCGATGATGTCTCGCGCGTGCCGCGTCCCGCGCGCAGGAATTTCGAGGATGTCTCGACTAATTCGTTTGTTTTGCTAGGATTTCCTTGAATTTTGGCAGGATGTCTCGAGCGAAATGCTTGTCTTTCATAATTTGTTGAAGACGTTTCGAGCGAAACGCTGGTTTTGCAAAGTTGGGGGATGTCTCGAGCAGGGGCCTCGTGGGGGGCCTCGTGGGGGTCCAGAATTCAGAGGGTGTCTCAGGCGAAATGCTTGTTTTCACGTCCCGCTCGCAAGAATTCCGAGGATGTCTCGCGCGTGCCGCGTCCCGCGCGCAGGAATTCTGAGGATGTTGGCAGGATGTCTCGAGCGAAACGCTTGTCCCCAGCACGTTCCGTAGCGCGTCCCCTTGGCACGTCCCGCGGTGCGTCCCCATGGCACGTCCCTTGGCACGTCGCTTGGCGGGTCCCTTGAGACGTTCCGCGTCGCGTCCTCCTGGCATGCCCCCCTGTCCATTAGCTCTGGGGCAGCTACTATGTGTTCAGGCAGCTCGAGCTTAAGATCCAGATCAGTTCGGTCAGAACTCGGATGCAAAGGAGGACTCGATCCACGAGGCTATAGAGCACAATCGCGGCATGGCACATCGCAATTCAGCACGGCGCAGCACAGCACAGATTTCGGCACGGTACATCAAGATCGATACACTCAGCATTGCAACTTGGCACGTTCCGTGGCACGTTCCGTGCGTCCCTTGGCGAGTCTCCCTGGCATGTCGCGTGGCGCGTCCCCTGGCACATCCCGTGGCACATCCATTGGCACGTTCCGTAGCGCGTCCCTTTGGCACGTCCCGCGGTGCGACCCCATGGCATGTCCCCTGGCACGTCGCCTGGCGCATCCCTTGGGACGTTTCGCGGCGCGTCCTCCTGACATGCTCCCCTGTCCATCAGCTCTGGGGCAGCTACTATGTGTTCAGGCAGCTCGAGCTTAAGATCGAGATCAGTTCGGTCAGGACTCGGATGCAAAGGAGGACTCGATCCACGAGGCTATAGAGCACAATCGCGGCATGGCACATCGCAATTCAGCACGGTGCAGCACAGCAGCACAGCCCTCGGCAGGGTACATCGAGATCGATACATTCAGCATTGCATTTGCCCGTCACCCAATCTGGTGTCTTTGAAAACGCTGCCATGTGTTACAGTTCTATATTCCTTTCCGGGTTCGTGGGTCGATCATGTTTTCTCCATGGGTCAAACTTCGACTTCCCATCGAAAACCTGAGGAACACCGAGGGCAAACTGCAAAAAACAAATTAGGAGCACGGAGCTCCTCCCCAACGAGGAGGGTTCCTTCGTAAGCGCCCCGACTGTACAGTTGGACCTGGGACAGAAACGCATCCTTCAAGAACATGAGACCGACCAGCCATAACTGGGGGAGCTGTGGTCCTTACCCCCCTGGGGGAACCCATCGCATCGACGATCTCTCGAGAGGGGTGTCGAAATCGATGGGTCCCCCAGGGGGGGTAAGGACCACAGCTCCCCCAGTTGTGGCTGGCCTGTGAGACCCTCCGCCTGCCAAACCACCTGAGACCATGCGATCACTCGAGGATGCCATCCCCCCGGGGTGCACAGGAGCATCCAACAGGCACGAGGAACAGCAGAGCACACTCCCCCGAGCCGACCTTGATCTTGTGCCTCGGTCCGACCGCCCTCGACCCCCAGGGACGACTCGCAAGACACCCTTCGGATCGGATGGAAGGGGGTCGGATCAGTGGGGCCCGCTCCGCGAAGCCAGGCAGGGGATCTACTATTGAGGCGCCCCCATCCCTCCCTCCCTCCCTCCCTCCTGCTCCTCCTGCTGCTGCTGCTCCTCCTCCTCCTCCTCCTCCTCCTCCTCCTCGTCCCTCTCCTCCCCCCCTCCCTCCCTCTCTCCTCCTCGTGCCTTCGGGTCGAAGGGAGGAGGGGAGGAGGCGCCACAGCAGGGAGGTGTGGGGGTGGTCTAGGGTGCGGCCGTTGGACAAGGGATGTGGAGCATGGACCCCTCAGGAGAAGCGTTCGTGGGGAAAACGATGGGCGTCTTCGCCTCGCCTCGAGCCCTGCGATTGGGGAGACGTAAGAGTCGGGTTCGGGGGACTCGGGTTGGTCTGATGGGGCCGTCAGGAAGACGACGAAACCCTCTGGAATTTGATGCGAGCTCCTGCTGTAAACATCCAACGAAGACTTGACCGGCAATCTGAACGACGTGCCCGTCAACAAACGTCGGGAAACTTGAGATCTGGCGAACGCGAACTCGAACTCGAACTCACGGACCGAGTCGGTCCAGGAACTCCCAGCACAGGGGTGGGGTAGATGGCTCCCGCCGTGATTCTTCTCGCGACTTCGCCAATATTGTCCACAACGCAGGTTGCTTGGGCCTAACGCTCCATGCCTTCCGAATTCGATGACACCGACTTCAAGAATGATGGAAACAACTCTAATCGCTGTCAGGCTGCGTTCTGGTTATACCAGAACCAGTCTGTCGCTGGAAGCTGCAGAACTGACGAGACGACTAGACATCCGCAAACTCGGTCCTTAAGCATGAGCGCTCGCTGCGAGATATGGATGATGCTTGGCTTATGTGCCAGAGTCTCCGCGAAAAAAACTCAAACATATAACCCACATCACACCCATGAGTGCCTGGAATGGCACCCTCAAGTGAGGCGGATTCGCGTAGAAGTTGAAGGTCTGCGTTGGGCCAAAAATTGCTAAATTCATTTTGCAATCCTCAACGATGTTTTTCCGCCATGTACTGAGACCCTTGTCTCGAGCATCTCGCCAACAAACTCCTCGAGGTACGAGCCACTCCCGCGAAGTGTAGAAAATCGGCAGGTAGATGAACGGGATGTGCACAACAGCGTCCAGAAAGACGCTCCTGAACGTCTCCGTCCACCGGGTCTGCTTCAGAAAGGGCACCCGCACGAGCGGGAAGATCTTCACGAACAGCGCGTACTGGGCGCAGCCGACGTACGCCGTACCGAACGCCAGGAAGAAGCCGTTCCGGCGCCAGTTGAACTCCCTGCCCTCGAACCACTGCACGGCCGCGTCCGTCCCCGCCCCCTTGACCGCGCCGCAGAGGCCAGCGGAGAGGAGGGGCCTTTGGTGCTGCATCTTCGGGGATCCCTGCCTGTCCCGTCGCGCCGCGATTCAAAAATCGAATCCGTGCCGAATCCGCGTCGAATCCGCGCCGAAAGCCCGTGTCGAATCCGTGCTGAAAGCCCGTGTCGAAGCCGTGCGGACGTCCACATCGACTCCGCGTCGGACCCGCGTCGGAGTACATGACAAGACTGCCACTTACACGTCGTTCATTTCCAATCCGTTCATGTCCAATCGTGCTCATTTCTAGTTGTGCTCGCTTCTAACTGGTTCCTGTTTTTTTTTTGACGGCCAGGACGAGGCCCAGGACAGAAGAATCAGAAATGACAGGATCTTGCCCCCCAAAAAAAAATCAAAGACCTGTCGAATGCTTGGAAGTGAACAGTGCGCACAGGACAGGACGAGGCCCCCCGCAGGTGCAGGGGCAAGGGCCTGCGCAGGCCGAAGCCGTTCAGCCGCAGCACGGCGCCGCGGCCCGCGGCCCACGCGGCAGTCCGCATCGCCCCCGCGCGGCCCGCGGAGAGGGCGGGCTTCCGCAGGCCCCGGTCGCTCAGCCGGAGCACGGCGTCGCGGCCCGCGGCCCACATGGCCGTGGCTGCCATGGCCGCGGCCGCGAGGCCGAGCGGCGCGGAGCCGAAACTCCGCGAGCCGCCCAGGCTGCGAGCTCGCCGGGGGCGGGGGGAGCTCGCCTGCGGGGGGGGGGAAGGGGGTCCTGTGGACACGACAGGCTCTCGTCTTGTCGGCCTGCGGGGCGTGCAAGAGAGCCCATGGGGGCGCACATGGGCGCCCGCGCAACGTACCCGGAGCCCCCAGGGCAGAGCCCAACAGGAGAGACGGCCCCAAGAAGGGCCATGTCACAATCGCTGCGAACGGACTGCAGGACCTCCTCAAGATGGCGCAGTTTGCCTCAATCTTCTTACCTACAAAAGCCCTCCCAGAGGTCCTCAAGAGGCTTGGCCCAAATGGGTCCAACGCACTGCCCAAAGAGGCTCGCATCCTAGAAACCCTCACTATTCCCGCCCATGTCACGCCAGGATCTGGAGGCCTCCTCAAAACTCGCCCTCTGGGCCTCTCCTGGGGAGTATCCTGACAAGAAACAAGGCCTCCGATGCGGACCTAGACGCGACGACGATAGAGAGAGAGAGAGAGAGAGATAGAGAGAGAGAGAGAGAAAGCGAGAGAGAGAGAGAGCACCCCAGGAGGCCGCAAGAAGCCCTGTGGCTCGGACGGCGGGGAGGGAGGGGGGAGGGAGGCGGGGGGAGGGAGGAGTCCAGGAGGGGGAGAACTGGCAGCAGCCCGGCCCGAACGCCGCCGGCAGGGGCCTCAGCCGGGCGGCCGGGCCAGCGCCGCGTTGGGGGGGGGGCAGCGAGGAGGCCGGAGAGCTCACAACAGCAACTCGCTGCCTGAGCCCCCGAGCCTCGCACGCGGATGCTCGGGCTGCGCTCCTCGAGCCCGGGGGCCTCGAGCATCCTGCCCCTTTGAGAGGCCCCGTCGGGCCAGGGCGTCCCGGGAGGCCCACCGCGAGCGATGGAGGCCAGCAGAGGCCAGAAGCGCAGCGGAGAGAAGGAGACGGAAGGGGACGATCCTCCTCTTCCTCCGCCTCCTCCTCCTCCTCCTCGTGCTCCTCCTCCTCCTCCCTCCTCCTCCTCCTCCCCCTCCCTCTCGCGCCTCTGCACGTAGCTCCTCCCCGCCGCACCGTGACGAGGTGTGTCCACGGGCAGGGCCGGGCGTCTCGCTAGACTGCCCTGCATGGGAAGAGCAAGACTCGTGAGCGTTTTTCTTATTCGGCGTCTCGGCATTGGGCGGAAGGAGGGACTGGCCATCGCTCGGACGTCAATTCCCTGTGTTTGTTTCGGTTTCGTGCGTGGTTTTTTCGCCAAATGATCAAGGATGCTCCTCGATGGTCCCCGCCGAAGGAAAAATGCACACGTCCGAGCGATGCCAAGGGGGGGGGGGGGGGGGGGGGGGCTCTCTGGACCTCTGCTTCGTGCGGCTGTGTTGGGGCCGTGCGTCCTGTGGGGTGGGGGGCCCCGCCTGCTCGAAACAGGCGCGAAGAACAGCCAAGACCTACCCCATTGTGGGGGGGGGAAGGAGGGGGGTGCGAGGGCCCGCGCCGATCGGCAAAAGAATGAATACAAGCACGCTCACCTAAGCGGATGTAGACGAGCGCGTTTCACTACTCGCAAAGTAACTACTCGCAAATGGCCTGGTTCCGCCGCGGAGGACTTACGAAACATTGAATTAAAGCAGACATGTGTGTGTGTGTGTTTCGGACGTTCGCGAGTAGGCACTTTGCGAGTAGTGGAACACGCTCGTTGAGGATAGAGGGCGCTGCCGTTTCGAAGTGTGGCTCTCGCATATCAGCGCCGGAGCGTGCGCGCTCCAAGCTGCTCTCGCAGCTGCACGCACGGAGACATGTAAACGGCCTTGAAGAAAGTGCGGCGCGCGCCGCCGCGCCGTGCACGTGCGCCCCCAATGCTCTCGACGGGTGCGTGCGCGGATGGAGAGCAATACCTTTTTTTCACGATGGGGCTTCCGCCTGCGAACTCGCTAGAATTACGGTGGGGGCACTGGATAAGGAACCACTGGATAAGGAATCCATGGTTATGTCGGGCGTGTCCCCCTACGGGGGGATTTTCGAGGAAAAATGAAAATACCCCAACAATACCTCCAAAAGGTCAGAAAAAATACTCAACAAATAGTCCCCAGACTATTATTTGATTATTTTTTGATTATTTTGGGGGTATCTTTTATTTTTCGTCGGAAATCCCCCTGTACGGGGACCGGCCCGACTAAAATCCAGGGGTCTGGAAGCCCGCGGACCTCCAATCGCGGAGTGGCCGTGGTTATCACCGCCGCCCTCACTGGACAAGGAACCCTCCCGGATCTGCAGCCTCCTGGGCACGTTCCTCAACCAAGGCCTCCACCGCTTAGTGGGCCCCGGAAACGGCAGGGCCGTTTTTTCACCGTTTCCAAAAAAATGTCCCTTGAAAATGGAAACAGCAAAACAACGGCGACCGGAAACGGCAAAAAAAAACGGCTCCAGGATTGGAACCGGAGCCGGAACCAGTCAAAGAACGGCGACGGAACCGGTAAAAACACGGCGTCGGAACCGGCAAAAAACGGCAAAACGGAACGGGTAAGAAAACGGCCCTGTCGTTTCCAGGGCCCACTAAGCTCCACCGTACCTTTTTCAAGATGGGGCTCCCGCCTGAGACCTCGCCAGCATTATGCTGCTCCCATCGTGCTCAAGGGCCACATCCCCAGAAATGGGTTCGAGCACCAAGGAAAGTATCGAAACGGTGCCGAGCGAGTGTCGCCTCCCAGGGCCCGACACGTGAAAAGCCTCCAGTTTGGGTACTTTCTTGGTGCTCGAACATATTTCTGGTGCTCGAGGCTAAAGTCGATTGGAATATCATAACGCTAGCATGCATTACCAACTTTTGTGCAACGGCAGCGCAGATGGAGGGCAATTCCTTTTCAGAGCGGGGCTGTCGTCTGGCACCGCGCTGAACGTCACAAAACCCACAGTGCCGCATCCCTTGCAGCTCGAAGGATTGAAGGCGGCTCCCTTTTTTAAATTTGAAGTCCCGGGCGCTCGCCTTTGAAGGGGGGCCGCTGCGCGCAGCGGGAGAGAAGACTTCCAGGGACAAGCGTGGAAGAGGGCTCGGGGCGGGAGGGTGGATTGCAGCATCGCTGTGGCGTGTCCGGTCTGGATTGGCCTCCTGCTCCTGCTCCTCCGCCCCTGCTCCTCCTCCTCCTCCTCCTCCTCCTCCTCCTCCTCCTCCTCCTCCCTCCTCCTCCTCCTCCTCCTCCTCCTCCTCCTCCTCCTCCCCTCCTCCTCCTCCTCCTCCCTCCTCCTCCTCCTCCTCCCTCCTCCCTCCTCCTCCTCTCCTCCTCCTCCTCCTCCTCCTCCTCCTCCTCCTCCTCCTCCTCCTCCTCCTCCTTCTCCTCCTCCTCCTCCCGTGCCCCTCCTCCTCCGTCGCCCGCTGTCCTCCTGGGCAAGTCCTCCCCGCCTCGCCAGCAGACCTGCCAGTGCGGCGGCCCCGGGCGGGCCGTTTTTTTATCGCGGGAGATCTCCTCACCATGAATGGACTGAGGTGCAGTAACTGACTCAAGACGTGGACGATGTTTGCTGTTATGCGCGGCCCACCACTCTGCTATGATGGGATGTGGCCTCGGTGCTAAGCGCTCTCCGGAGGTTTGAAAGTCCAACGGCTACACGGATGGATGGCGGCTCTCTCGAACAAGAGGGGCCCTCTCGCTCGCGCCGCGCACGCTCGTCCTTCCAAGGTGCAGCAGCCACGAGGGGTGGAGGCCGGCTCCTCTTCAAGACGGGGTTCGCGCCCGAGCGCCGCGCGCATTCTTGCAAACAGCTTGCAACATCTACAGGGATGGACTGCGGTTTGTGCTCGCACACAGACGCACGAAAGCAACAACAACCCGCGTTCGCCTCAGCGCCGCGCGCATTCACCGTACAACGTTAGGAGCAGTTCAACGGCTGGAAGACGATTTCTTCTGAAAGCAGTGCTCTCGCATGAGACCTGCCTACACTTACCGACCAAACGCGTGAACATGTTTAACAGCTGTACAGGTGGAGGGCGGTTCAGGTTCCTTTTCAAATGCTGGTTATCGCTTGAGACGTCCATGACAAAACGTGTAGAATTGTGCAACAACTGCACGGGCGAGGGGGCTGCTCCTTCTCAAAGCGTGGCTCTCGCTGGACACCGCGCTCAACTTTACGATGCTGCCTACTCGTGTTGCTGATAGCCCGCCAGGAAGATGAGCGGAAGCTGCTTTTCAACACTGTGCTCTAGCCGGGATCGCAGGCCCATTCGGTGCTCGTCTTTCCAAGGAGGGCTTTTTGTAGTAAAAAACAACATCATAAGTCCGAGACTGGCGGGTGTCTTGCACCGTCGTTGATGCGTCCTGGGTCCCCTTTGGTTCTCCATCCCTCTGCCTTATACAGAAGTCCTCCCAGTCGCACCCCCGAACGCGGCGTCCTGGGATTCCGTTGGTTCTCCATCCTTTTTCCTTATACGGAAGTCCTCCCAATCGCGCCCCCAAACGTGTTAGTAGGGCGGGCCGCGCGTTTCGCCTGAGACTTTTTGACAGTTTCTGATTCTGAGGCTTGACATCTGCAAACGCTTCAAGAATGGAGGGTGCGAGGTGTTGAAAATGCGGCTCTCGCGATAGCGCCGCGCACAAACGTCTTAACAACATACTGCAACTTCAAAAGTAGAGGGTGGGCCGTTTTCAAAATGTGGCTCTCGCCTGAGCGCCGCGCACAATCGTAGCAAGCACATGCAACAGCTTCAAGGGTGGAGATCGGTTCCATTTCAAGCTGTGGCTCTCGCCAGAGCGCCGCGCGCAATCCTCTTAAAAGTTGAAACTACTTCGAACATGAAGGGCGACTAATTTTCAAAATTTGGCTTTCGCTTTAGGTGCCGAGCAAACTCGGATTGAAGGTTTGCAACCGTATGGTTGAAGTCCGAACAATTGTGTTCTCGCACGATTTCGTTTAGGATTGCCTGGACGCGCCAGTCACGTGGATTCGCGGTGAACTCCCAGCAATGGTGGCCTGGCACGATTTCGCGTAGAATTGTCTGGACGCACCAGCCACGTTGATTCGCGGAGTTGAAATCCCAGGAACGATGCTCTGGCGCGACTTCGTTTAGGATTGCCAGGACGCAGCAATCACGCGGATTCACGGGGTTGGAGTCCAAGGAATGGTGTTCCGGCACGGTTTCGCTTAGCATTGCCAGGACGCGCCAGTCACGTGGATCCACGGTGTTGGAGTCCCAGGAATGGTGTTCTGGCACGATTTCGTTTACGATTGCCAGGACGCACCAGTCACGTGGATCCACGGTGTTGGAGTCCCAGGGATGGTGTTCTGACACGATTTCGCTTAGGATTGCCAGGGCGCACCGGTCACGTGGACTCACGGTGTTGGAGTCCCAGGAACGGTGTTCTGGCACGATTTCGCTTACGATAGCCAGGGCGCACCAGTCACGTGGACTCACGGTGTTGGAGTCCCAGGAACGGCGTTCTGGCACGATTTCGCTTAGGACTGCCAGGACGCACCAGTCACGTGGATCCACGGTGCTGGAGCCCCAGAAGCGGTGTTTTGGCGCGACTTCGCTTAGGACTGTCAGGACGCAGCAGTCACCTTGATTCGCTGTGCTGAAGTCTCAGGAGTGGTGTTCGGTGGCGATCCAAGACTGTGAAGACGCAGCGGACACGTTGGGCCGCGGCGTCGCAGCCCCGGGAATGGCGCCTTGGCACGAGTGGGGGTTCTGAAACGGATGTCGTCCAATGGGGCACTTCCCACAAATAGGGCGCATTCTTGTAGGCACCCAGGAGTAGGGAGCTTCGAAGGAGGGTTGATAGCTTTCTCGCTGATGCGTCTCGGGTTTACACTGGTCCTCCTCCTCCTCCTCCTTCCCCCTCCTTCTCCTCCTCCTCCTCCTCCTCCTCCTCCGCCTCCTCCACCCCCCACCATAATCAAAAACGGAAGGATACCCTAAGTCTGGCTGTTGGACCCAGCGCGGAACGCTGGTGAAACCTGGCCACGCCCCTGGGGCCAGAGGGGCCCGGGCACAAAGCGGACGTCAGAGGGCTGGCGGGCCACCCGCGCCCAGCCAGGCAAACAAAGGCAAGAAATCCTCCCTTCGTCATCTGCACGGTTTCCCCCGGGGCCGTAGGCGACCGAGGAGGAGGAGGAGGAGGAGGAGGAGGAGGAGGAGGAGGAAGAGGAGGCGGAGGAGGAGGAGGAGGAGGAGGAGGAGGAGGAGGAGGAGGAGGAGGACGGGTCGCCTTAGCCCTTCGGAGAAACCCTCCGTCGTCATCATCTTCCTCCTGCGCTCCCCTTCTTGATCTGGCCGTGGGCTCGCTGGCAGCACGACGGTGCGGCCCCGGCGAAGGCGCCGCCGTGGCCCTCGACTTCTCGCCCTGCACGCCTCGCCGCTCGGGTGCGAGCCCCGCCACGGCGCGCCTCGCAAGGAGTCCGTGCGTTTGGCGCTGCCAAACGTATCCCTGGCCCAGGGTGTCCGCAGCATTCCCGTGGGGAGGCTCAGATGCGCAACGAACAAAAAGTGACTCCGACGCGAGAAGTCGTACAGTCAACCAGTGCAGCAAGGATGCGCGATAAGGACGCAAGGGCCTTGGACGCCCATGTCGCAGCTTTTCGAGCGGGGCGCGGCCGACGAAAGCCGCGAAGGATGGACCGAGGAGGCAAGGGTGCAAAGGTACCCTTGGGAAGGTTGCCCATCCTTACCATGCAGGTTGACTGTACCCGCTTTACGCCACGGCTTGCGCCGGCGGCCGGCGTGGCACACCGCGTGGAGAGGAGGGAGTGCACGCGCGACCTTGCGCGGGAAACGTACGCGCGAATGTCCACCCAGTCGAGCCCGCTTTTCTGCGTCGCGCAGGTGTGCCCCTGGCACAAGGTGTCCCAAGCATTCCCAGGAGGGGCCAATACATGTGGCACCCAGAGCGCCCCCACGAGGCCAAGAGGGCCCAGGATGCTCCGAAACGGCACGAGAAGCTAGAGACACCCTGGGCCACAGACACTTCTGGCCACATTCCAGTGCGGTCGACCGCAGGGTCGGCCACGCTGGCCTGCAGCAAACGGTGCCTCTTCATTGCCGATCGCGCGGGGTGAGGAGGAGGAGGAGGAGGAGGAGGAGGAGGAGGAGGAGGAGGAGGAGGAGGAGGAGGAGGACGAGGAGAGGAGGACGAGGAGGAGAGGAGGAGGAGGAGGAGGAGGGAGGAGGAGGGAGGAGGAGGGGGCCCAGGTGTTCAGGCGTGTGACGGACCTCTTTGGGCCTCCCGCGGTCGGCCCCCCCTCGCCAAGCCAGGGTGCCCCCCCCACCCCCACCCCACCCCGCCACCGCTCCTCTCTCTCTCCTCATCTGCTTCCCTCCTCCCTCCTCCCTCCTCCTCGAAAACTTCCCCCTTTTTTGAAGACTCCTCATCCTGCATCATCCTCCGTCCTCATCTTCCTCCACCTCTATTGCCCATAGTCCCTCCTCCTCCTCCTCCTCCTCCTCCTCCTCCTTCTGCATCCTCCTCCTCCCCCCGTTGAGCGCTGAGCGCGGCCCCGGAAGCCCACAGCGACAGCCGACGGGGGAGGACTGGCGGCACGCACAAGGGGCGGGGAGGGGGCGAGGGTTTCTTAGAAGGAGGCTGCTTCTGAGAAGGCGCTGGCCTTGCATCTACAGACAAGGCCCGCACCTTCTAAGAAGCAGGGGTGCTTCTAAGAAGCCTTGCCCCCCTCCCCCTACCCTCCTCCGCGCGTGGCTCAGGGGGAAGGGTCCTGGTCCCAGCGGGCGGCCGCCATGGCGCTGCAGAAGTGGTCCGCCGTCGGCTGGATCCTGCGCCGCAGCCGCCCGCACCCCCCGCGCACGCGCGGGGGCTGCACCGCCCAACCGCGTCGCGGTCGGGAGATACTGCTGGCACACAGGATGCAGCCAGACCAAGGATCGAATAACGTCCTTCAAGAACATGCGACCCTTTTCTGGCCAGAACACGCAGAACATCCAAGGAGCACCCTCCCCAGAATGCACGAGAACATCTAAACACCGGACAGCTCGCCCCTTGGCCCCCCGCCAGGTCCACGCCAAGGGGCGAGCATACATACGGGCGCAGCACCGCGCTGCACGCGTAGCCTTCGGCTGGGCCATGCAGGGCAAGACGCAACACTGCATCGCGTGGCGCGTGGATTCCCGCGCCGACCACGACTCCTCTCAAGCCCTTCATCCGAACCCCCCTTTCGCCACCTCCTCTTCGTCCGCGTCCTCCGTCCTCCCTCTCGCCCATCCCCCCCGTCGTCCAACTCGTCCGGCTCCTCCTTCCGCCGCCTCCTCCCTCTCCTACTCCCTCCTCGCTTTCCGCCTCCTCCGCCCTCCTCGTCGTCCACGTCCACCTCCTCCTCCTCCTCCTCCTCCTCCTCCTCCTCCTCCTCCTCCTCCTCATAGTCCGACGCCTTCCCTTCTTCCTCCTCTTCCTCCTCCCCCTCCCAACCAGTCTCCCTCAGCGAAATATCGTCACACGCCTCAGCGAACTACCTTCACCCCCTGGCCTAAAACTGCCAGCGAAATATCCTCAATCCCCTCGCTTGAAACTGCCAGCGACATATCCTCACACCCCTCGCTTGAAACTGCCAGTGAAATATCCTCCACCCCCTGACTTAAAACTGCCAGCGAAATATCCTCACACACTCTGGCTTAAAACTGCCCGCGAAATATCCTCAACCACCTGGCTTAAAACTGCCACAGAATATACTCACCCCCCCGACTAAAAAAAGCCAGCGACATATCATCACACCCCTCGCTTGAAACTGCCAGCGAAATATCCTCACGGCCACTGGCCTTCAAATTGCCAGCGAAATACCCTCACCCCCTGGACTGAAAACTGCCAGCGAAATATCCTCAACCCCCTGGCTTAAACTGCCAGCGACATATCCTCACCACCTGGCCTAAAACTGCCAGCGAAATATCCTCACCGCCTGGACTTACACTGCCAGCTAAATGTCCTCACCCCCCTGGCTTAAAACTGCCACCGAAACATCCCCACCTCCGGAAATATAGCTGCCATTCAGCGGCTGTGGTGATTCAGTTGTGAGTTCAGTTCAGTCAGTCACTCAGCCAGTCCACTCCCCGAAAATCAAACTACGGGCTGCGCCCGTAAATAAGCACGGGAACATTTATTACCAGCCTGGAACATATCCCTATCCCTATGCTGGGCACCTCCTCATCACGATGCCAATCTCAGGGATTCCCTTATTTTTCGAGAGCGCATCCCTAGGATTGTCATCGACTTCTGGCGTGTCAATCTTAGGGATAGGGATACGTTCGCGCACAAGGGGGTTGAGGGAGGGGGGAGGGCTTCTTAGAAGGAGGCTGCTTCTTAGAAGGCCCCGGCCTTACATCTATAGATGAGGCCCGCGCCTTCTAAGAAGCAGGGGTGCTTCGAAGAAGCCCTCCCCGCTCCCCTCACCCCCCTCTGCGCGTGGCTGAGCGCCCGTAAGTAAGCACGGAGAAAGTTAGGGTGCCCTCCCCGTGAAGACCTCGCTCTTCCATTTCCGGTCCGACTGCAAGCGACCGCCTCGTCGACGGGCGCCCCGCGAGCCTGCTGCCTCACGAGTGGCCTGCGGAGGCACTCTGCGAAGCTCAGGGGATTTTCGACGAAAAATAAAGAACACCCCAAAAATAGTTTAAGAGAAGGTAGAAAAAATCAACAAAAAAAATAGACCCAAGACTATTTTAGGGTGCCCTCCCCGTGACGACCCTTCGCTCTTCCATTCCCGGTCCGACGGCAAGAGACCGTCTCGTCGACGGGCGCCCCACGCGCCTGCTATGCCTCACGAGTGGCCCGCGGAGGCACCCTGCGGAGCTCAGCGTCGGCGAAGGCTGTGCCCCCTGCGGTCATGTCGGGCGTGCCCCCCTACAGGGGGATTTTCGACGAAAAACAAGAAATACCCCCAAAATAGACCAACAAAGGGAACATACTCAAACAATATATTCCCCCGGACTATTTTTTTGGACCTTTTTTGAAAACTATTTTGGGGGCCTTTTACATTTGTCGTCGACAGTCCCTCCGTGGGGGGACAGGCCCGACCTAACCCTACGGCCGGGAACGTCTGCACGGCGCGCCGCGGCGGCGGCCCCGGCGACACGCTGCGCCCTGCGAGCGGGCAGCGTGCCGCTCCGCGCCTCGGGGCGGGAACACCGGATGATCTCGGAACGTTGACGCCGGGGGGCCGGGAAGTGCATAGCGTTATTGAAGAGGCCCACAAACACACAAATAAATACACACAAATAACAGAAATCCCAATACTTTCCCATATTTTCTGGGTTTCTGTCTTCCCCCCCACTTCCCATATTTTCGCATATTTTCTGGGGAATCGACGATTAATTATGTCTGTGTGTTCTTTTCCCTCCTGAGTTATGTCGGGCGTGTCCCCCTACAGGGGGATTTTCGACGAAATATCCCAAACACCCCCAAAAATACACCCCCAAAAGGCAAACAAAAATGCTAAAAGAATAGTCCCCATACTATTTTTGGAGCATTTTTGGATTATTTGTGGGGCATCTTTCATTGTTCGTCGAAAATCCCGCTGTAGGGGGACAAGCCCGACTTAAGCACAGCGCGCCGCGCCGAAAAGTGGTGGACCAGAACCGGCGGCGCGACACGCTGAGCCAAAGCTCCTGACCATAGAGCTTTCGCAGCAGGAATCGAGACAAAAGAAGAGAAAACGAAACCAGATCAAGATAGGTCGGGAATCTCAGAGACTCAGCGGCCCAAAGGATGTGTCGGGCGCCGCGGCCGTTCCAGAGCGCCCCTGAGTGCTCTGAGACCTTTCCAGAACGCCCTGGGGCAATCGAGGGGGGCGGCCTTCTAAGAAAGTCGGGGGGCTTCTAAGAACGCAGGGTTGTAATGATCGCCTTGTTTCTTCTTAGAAGCCTCCAAGCCCTATCTGAGGCCCCTAGCTTCAAAGATGCCCGCCGCTTCCTTGGGATGCCGCCTTTTTCGCGCCAACCGCTTGTGCGCACAGCCAAGGAGAGACGGAGGAAGCAGAGCATCGAAGAGCATGCGACCATCGGCGACGGCGCCCTCGGCGGCGCGACTCCACCTCTCGCTCTGGCGGCTCCAACTCCTGATCTTGGCGACACGGCGTTTTTGGACGCCCGAAATGGGTACGGAAATAATGGGTACAATGCCCAACAACACATGTTGTCCCAAACCAACAGCGGCCGCTGTTGGGAAGGCGGCCTTCTGTCTCAAGTGGACACAGGCCGCGGCGGCGCGGACAGCGAGTCCGGTTCAAAAGGAACAAGAACTGCTGTGGGGCATTGCACCCCTTCTTTCCGTGCCCATTTCGTTCGTGCCGAGCGTTGCTTGGCGACCGCGCCGAACCCGCCGTCGGCGCCGGCGCCCGCGGAGTTGGAGGCCGAGACGACCGCGCTCCTGGGGCGCTCGGCGCCCTCCGCGAGCCAGCGGCAGCAGCGCCGCCACCCGACGAAGCGCCCTCTCCTCGGCGGGCTGAAGCCTGACGCGATGGCGCCCTGCGCGGTCGCTGATGGGATGCGGAACGCGCGAGGAACGCTCGAATTAAGTCGGGCCTGTCCCCCTACAGGGGGACTTTCGATGAAAAATAAAAGAAATACCCCACAAATCATCCGGAAATGCTCCAAAAATAGTCTGGGGAATATTTTTTGAGTATGTTTCATCTTTTTGGTGCATTTTTGGGGTATTTTTTATTTCTCGTCGAAGATCCCCCTGTAGGGGGACACGCCCGACAGAACGCTCGAAGAGCGCCGTCGCAGAATGGCCGACCAGGTGCAACTGGCCGATGACTCGATGGAGCAGCTCCCCTGGTTAGCGGGCGAAGAACGGTATAAGATAATTTTCGTTCGCCGCCGGGGACGCCTGCCCCAGGGCGGCTGGAAAGTTCATACCCCTACGGTGGCACCGTAGGGGTATAAGCTTCCCAGCCGCCCAGGGGCAGGTGCCCCCGACGGCGAAAAGGTTCATGTTATACCGTTCTTCGCTCGCCGACCTTCCGGCCGCGAGGAGGAGGACCAGGCCGCGAGGAGGAGGAGGAGGAGGAGGAGGAGGAGGAGGAGGAGGAGGAGGAGGAGGAGAAGGATATGGACGTGCTCCCCTTCAAATCTTCGCGCGCCCCGCCGAGGTGCGGCGGGCGCCCCCGCCCCGCGCCACGCCGGCGCAGTGCGGCTCGGGAGCTGGCCGCTGGCCCTCCGGTCGCACCGCAGTCGGGGCGCTGACCTGAGGAGCCCTAAGCAAGGAGCGGGGCCCCTTTCTCCCCATAAGTTGAACTTCGATCTCGCATCGAAGACATAAGGAAAACAGGAGTTGAACTTCGATTTCCCATCGAAGACATGAGGAAACCCAACGCAAGCTGTGAAACAATCAAGGAACACCGAGCCCCTCGCCAACGAGAAGGGTTCCTTCTTCAGGGACCCGACTGTAGCCGCTCTGCCGCGCCTCGGGCCGCCCCGCCATCGGCGCCGGCGGCCCGCGCGTGGTCGCGCGCATGGCGCGCCGAAGGAGTCGCGCGCGGTATTGGCCGCGACCGTGGCCCGGGAAACATAAGCAGCCCAAGGCCCGCTCATCGCGCCGGCCCCCAGGGGGGCACTGAGGAATCCGTCGGAAACCAGGAGCGAACAGCTGCACGACACAAGCTCTTGTGCCCACCACTGGCGGGGGGGGGGCCTTTGGCTGCGCGCAAAACTCCGGCGCGCCAGGAGGTGCTCTGCAACGGAAGCACGCGCAATCTACGCCCATCCGATGTCCGCCGAGGCCTGCGGAGTTGGCGTGAGCAAACGAGCCCGACGGGCTCGGCGGAAATGCCACGGGCGGATCTTGCGCCCAATGTCACGCGCAGCCCCCCGTCCTTCTTAGCCGCGATGATGATGCCAACCGCGGCTTGATTCTCCGGCCCAATGTAATCGAGATCGTCGGCCCGCGGCATCTGGGAGATGAAGTTGGCATGCCGCACTCTGTCCTCGACAAAGCGCGAAACGACGAGAGGTTGAATGAGACCGGGGGCATGCGTCAACTCGCAAATCCGTCGCGGTGGACCTCCAGCCTTCCGGGGCCCGACTGGACAGGGCCTGATCGCCGTCGGCATAGCCGCCCCGCAAGGGCAAAGCGACGAGAGCAGGCTGGAAGCTGCGAAATCGCTGTCTGAATAGCCGAGGCGACTGTGGCCAAGCTCCGCAAAGGTTTGCAGGCGATGTAAGGCGGCGACGGCGGCGTGCCCGGGTGGATATTTTCCGCTGTATCCACGCAGGAGATCTGGGCCCGCGAGACCGCGAGACTTGCTAGTCGCCGTGCAACCGCGCATCACGCTGAGAAGCTCTACCGCCGCATTGACCCAGACATGCTCATGCTGCCGAACTCGCGCACGACGGCGTGCAGCTCGACATCCTGGCGGCCTGGAACGAGGAATGATCTTCTGGGGGAAACGGTGGCGCCACTGGCAGGAGCGCGCGAGCCACCGGCATGCCCTGATGTTGGTGACTGGACGGGCGCTCCGCCGCCTGGAGCACTATGTGGCTCCGGCCCCCGCTGTCTTCGCCTCCCTGCCTGGAGCTTCAGCTGCGGCCCTCTCGGCCCTGGACTTGCCCCCTCCCCGCCACCAGGAACCTGCACGCGGGGGCGGCGGCGCGGAGGGCCGGCGCCCGGGCGGGGCGGGAACTCGCGGTTCTCATCGTTCCGCTTCCTCGTCCCCTTGGCGATCGTACTCTCGCGGTGGAGCTCCGGGACCACGAACTGGTCCGACCGCGGACAAAGCGTGAGCTGGCCTCTGGTCCCGCCGACTCCACGGCTCATCACACTCATCCTGCATCACACAGTTAAACCTGCCCGTCTGTCCTGAGCGAGTTGAGTGCGCAACGATACTCGGACAGTTGGGCTCGGCGCAAAAGCATATCGACGAATGAGCTCTGATGCGTCGACCTGGTCGTATGTCTAAGCGTACTCCACTGCTTTCTTGGCTGTCTCGTGATCTGGCAACAGACAGCTGGCATGCTGACTTCCACCAGCTGTGCCGCGCCCGGCTGTGAACGCTGACTTGAAGGATGAAACGCAAGCCCCTCTTTTTGTCGTACGCGGTCCACTCGACGGCCACAACTTCCAGGTAGCCTCTGATGTAAGGTCTACTGCTACCTCGGAACATTTGAAATGCTTGCCGGGACGATCCTTCGTGATCTCCAGAATCTTAGCGTCGAGCTCGACAGGCTTCGTCGTCCACGCCAGCCGCTGTGCCAAGAGCCGACTGGGGGCTGCCGAAATCGAAGCCCACGAGAACCAAGAAGGTGCCGCCTTGGAACAAGAAATCGTGGTCGCCGCCGAGGAGCCCAAGCGTCTCCAGCCGAAGGATCGGGAGGATCCACCGCCTCAGAGGTGGGCAAACACGCCACTTCCTGCACGCGGCTGGCAGACACACCTCGCTGCAAACGAACCTCACGTTCTGCATGACCTTCAGCACCGTTGAAGGGGCCCTGGGACACACAAATAAATACACACAAATAAACGACATCCACATATTCTCACATATCTTCTGGGTTTTTGTCTTCCCCCCCACTTCCCATATGTTCCAAATTTTCTGGGAATCAACGATTAATTGTGTCTGTGTGTTCCTTCCCCTCCTGAACCGTGGCCTCCTCTGGGGTCTAGCCTGGGCCAGCGGCGGGTGGCTGGAGCGGGACTGCGCCGTGGGCCGCCGCGGCAGGCACACGCCGCTGCCCCAGGCAACGCGGCGCCAGGCGTGCTCGCTGCGCGCGGCCCGACGCTTGCCTCAGCTCCGCCCCCCGCGGCGTCGGCAGCATCATCACTGGCGGTTGCCACAATCGCAGCGCCGTCGTCGTCGAAGCGAGGCATCCTCAGTCGGAGACCCTGAACTCGGCATGCCCTCCGAGGCTGCTCGTACTGAGCTGGCGCCCTCGGCTGCCCAGCATCGACTACCGGCCCCCACTGAGGCCGAGGTCCACGGCGCCGAGCCCGAATCGGATGCCCCGCGAGACCGCGGGGAGCCTTCCCGCCAACGGCGGTCACTGACCTCCTCTGGGAAGACGGTCGCGATGGCCACAGCCCGGGCGTCGGCCAGCTGCTCGGCTGACCGACGCCCCGCCCGCCTCCCTCCTTTCCTCCTTCCCCGCGCGCTGTGCTGCGCAAGTGCAGCAAAATGCTCCCCCCTTCTCGTCCTCCTCCGCCTCCTCCTCGCCTCTGTTCGGAGGCGAGCCTGGGGGGAAATGAGAAGAGGCGGGCCTTCTCAGAAGGCCCGGAAGTCGCCCGGCCTTTCCCTGGAGACACAGAACTTCTCAGAAGACCGGAGCGCTTCTGAGAAGTCCCGCCGCCTCCTGAGGAGGCCTTCTCCTTCTCACTCCCTCCCCTCCCCCGCCGCCGATCTTCTGCCTCCGCCACCTCCTCCTCCTCCTCCTCCTCCTCCCTCCTCCTCCTCCTCCTCCTCCTCATCCTATGGCGACGACGGCGACGGCGACGGCGACGACGACGACCACCACGACCGCGACGCCGCGCGGCGGCGCGCGCACGGCACCACTCTGCAGGCGGAGGCGCGACTGCTGCCTGGCGGCGCGGCGCGGCGGGCGCGGCGGCGGCGGCCGGCCGCCGAGGCGCCGGCTGTCTCTTCGCGCCCGCTGCGCCGCGGGGGGGGGGCGAGACTCCTCCTCCTCCTCGCGGTGTCCATCCTCCCTCCCTCGTCCTCCTCGCCTCCCTCCTCCCTTCTCTTCCATTCCTCCATCCCTCCTCCTCCTCCTCCTCCTTCTCCTCCTCCTCCTCCTCCTCCTCCTCCTCCTCCTCCTCCTCCTCCTCCTCCTCCTCCTCCTCCTCCTCCTCCTCCTCCTCCCCCCACTCCTCCTCCTTCTCCTCGCCCTCCTCCTCCCTTCTCCTCCATTCTTCCATCCCTCCTCCTCCTCCTCATTGTTCTACCCTCCTTTTCCAAATCCTCCACGTTCCTTTCTTCCTCGACCTCTTCATCCTCCACTGCTGCTCCTCCTCCTCCTCCTCCTTCTTCCCCCCCTCCTCCTCCTCCTCCTCCTCCTCCTCCTCCTCCTCCTCCTCCTCCCCCTCCTCCTTCTCCTTGTCCTCCTCATCATCCGCCATCCCTCTCCCTTATGAATAACTCGTCTCTCTCGCATCCCCGGACGTGTCGGCAGGGCGGACCGGGCGTTTCGCCTGAGACCGACTCGCCATATGGGACCCTGAAATTCCAAAGCAGCAACGGCTTCATGGATGGAGGGCGGGTCGTCTTCACAGTGTGGCTCTGGCCTGTGCTCCGCGCGCGCCCGTCTCAAAAGTCTGCCGCAGCTTTACAGATGGAGGGCGGGCCGTTTCCCAAAGAACGCGGCACTCGCCCGCGCGCCGCGCGCATCCGCCCTCACGCCCGCAACAAGTTCACGGGTGGATGGCGGGTGTTCGACATGTGGCTCTCACCACCTGAGCGCTGCGCACGTTCGTCTTCAAAGCTTATAACCAGCTTCGCGGATGGACGGCGGGTCGTTTTCGAAATGTGCATCGCGCTGTAGCGCCGCTTGCATGTGATGAAGGCCTGCCAGGAAACAGCAGTCGCACTGATTCGCAATGGTGGACTCTCAGGGAATTGTGTTCTGGGGAACTTTAGACATGTCAGGACGCAACAGTCACGCTGATTGGCGTTGCAGTCGCAAAAACTGTGTCGTGGAACGATGGAAGATTCTCAAGCGATTGTCTTATGATGGGCCTCTTCCCGCAATGCAAACGACGTGTAGGGAGCAACGAGCAGGGAACGTAGAGGGATGGTTTATTCCAACATCGCTGGTGCATTTCGAGCTGACACTGGTTCTCCTCCTCCTCTTCCTCCTCCTCCTCCTCCTCTTTCTCCTCCTCCTCATCCTCCTCCTCCTCCTCCTCCTCCTCCTTTCCTCCTCCTCCTCCACCTGCTCCTGCTCCTCCTCCTCCTCCTCCTCCACCTCCTCCTCCTCCTCCTCCTCCTCCTTTCATTGAACGCATAATCACTCACAATCGATCCCCGCCCCCCCCCAGGGTTCAAACTGACCAGCTTTAATGCCGCGTCAGGCCGTGGCGACGAGGGGGCCCTTTTCTCTCCCACTCCCTGCTGCTTGGGACCAATGCTGGGCCACCTCAGCCCCCAAGCCGGCTCCTCCTTCTCCTCCTCCTCCTCCTCCTCCTCCTCCTCCTCCTCCTCCTCCTACACCTCCTTCTCCTCCTCCTCTCCTCCTCCTCCTCCTCCTCCTCGTCCTCTTTCCCCTGTGTCGTTCTCCCCCTCCTCCCCGTCCTCCTCCACCTCCTCCTCCTCCGCATACACATATCCTCCTCCTCCTCCTTGCTCGCCCGAAGCCTCCAGAGAAGTCTGCGGGGACCCGCTAAGCTCTCCCTCCTCCCTCCTCCTCCTCCTCCTCCTCCTCCTCCTCCTCCTCCTCTCTCCTCCTCCTCCTCCTCCTCCTCCTCCTCCTCCTATACCTCCGTCTCCTCCTCCTTGCTGTCGGTGTTATCCTCCCTCCTCCTCCTCTTCCTCCTCCTCTTCTTCCGTCTCCTCCTCCTGCTCTACCTCCTACGTCCTCATCCTCCTCCTCCATGTCCTTCTCCTCCTCCTCCTCCTCCTCCTCCTCCTCCTCCTTTTTCCTCCTTATCCTCCTGCCCTCCTTCCCTGCAGCTGCTCCTTCTCCCATCCCTTCTTTTTTACGTCGCACGGGCTTGAGCACCTGAGCAAAAACGTCAATTCGACAAAACATATCGCAAGAGCCGACTTAGGCAATGCGGCCTGAATAACAACACAACCTGAGCGCAGCGGGTGAGAAGTGAGGCAAAGAGAACAGGAAAACCAAATACAGAAAACTAGGGCCTACATAGACTATGCGCGCACCAGGTCGTAGGTCGAGGAGGCGAACAAGCCGACCGATCTTTCCTCCTCTTCTCCGCTTCGCGCATGGGCGTCGGTCCTAGTCTTGTCCAGCATCGACGTCATTCAGCGACGCAGTTGGGGCCCACGACTGGGACGAGGGCTTCAGCCTCGCCTCGAAAAAAAAACCTGACAAGCTGGTCACGTCTGACACGGAGTTGAGTGCGCATCAAACAAAGTGTACCAAGGATGTCAAAGCGTTATCTAGAGTGCTCTAAAGGCCGAGCAGACTCCTCCTCTCTTCCCCTCCCTCCTCCTCCTCCTCCTCCTCCTCCTCCTCCTCCTCCTCTTCCTCCTCCTCCTCGTCCTCTTCCTCCTCGTCCTCCTCTTCCTCCTCCTCCTCCTCCTCCTCCTCCTCCTCCTCCTCCTCCTCCTCGCAGTCGCAGTCGGCCAGCCACAACGGCAGGGGGAGAGGGGGACCCATCCACGCCACACAGCAACACTCTCGCGACAGAGCCCCCTTCGATGGCGAGTCAGGCGAGTCGCGGAGAGAGCAGCTGGAGGGATGCAGTCGAACCATGGCCACAAGAGGTGGAACAAGGACATGAACCCCTTCGCCGGAGGCCCAAGGTCCCATGGAGATATCCCAAATGAAGGACATTCCAAGGCACGGGCCTAAACACGAAAAGCAGGAGAGTACCCCTCAAACGCTAGGGTTGTTCTTAACCCTCGTTCCAGCTGTACCAGACACCGGAATGGCCTGCCTCTAGAGAGTCACGCCGAGGGAAAAAGAAGGTGAAGAGGCAGAGACGGAGCGCACAGCGGCATTCGGGACGAGACGGGACCACGAGAGAAACGGGCGTCTCTTCACTCCTTCCCCTCCTATCCCCTCCCGCCTCCCCAGATCTCCGACGCCCCCATCCCTTCGGCCCGCGGCCCCTGGAGCTCGCGCCCCTTCCCCGGGCCCCGGGTGTCCGTTTGTTCGTCCGAGGCAGCCGCACGGACGATCCTGACGCACAGATCGGGGCCGCAGGGCGCCACAAGAAGTACAACCAGAGGGGGGGTCTCAAGTCGCTGGTCCCCGTCCCTTCGGCTAGCGGCCCCTGGAGCCCGCGACCCTTCCCCGGGTGTCCGTTTTGTGCGCCCGAGGCAGCTGCACTGACGATCCCGACGCACAGATCGGGGCCGCAGGGCACCACAAGAAGTACGACCAGAGGGGGGGTCTCAAGTCGCTGGTCCCCGTCCCTTCGGCTCGCGGCCCCTGGAGCCCGCGACCCTTCCCCGGGTGTCCGTTTGTTCGTCCGAGGCAGCCGCACGGACGATCCCGACGCACAGGTCGGGGCGGCAGGGCGCCACAACGTACGACCAGAGGGAGTCTCAAGTCGCTGGTCCCCATCCCTTCGGCTCGCGGCCCCTGGAGCCCGCGACCCTTCCCCGGGTGTCCGTTTTTTGCGTCCGAGGCAGCCGCACTGACGGTCTCGACGCACAGATCGGGGCCGCAGGGCGCCACAAAAAGTACGACCAGAGGGGGTCTCTCAAGTCGCTGCTGTTCTCGAGTCTCTGTGGGCCTGCCGCGGCCCCCCCCCCTCCCTTCTCCTCCTCCTCCTCCTCCACCTCCTCCTCCTCCTCCTCCTCCTCCCTCCTCCTCCTCCTCCTCCTCCTTCTCCTTCTCTCTCATCCTCCTCCTCCTTCTCCTCCTCCTCCTCCTTCTCTCCTCCTCCTCCTCCTCCCTCCTCCTCTCTCCTCCTCCTCCTCCTCCTCCTCCTTTGAAGCGGCCCTGGGACACACAAATAAAGAGACACACATAACCAGATTCACGATATTTTCCAATATTTTCTGGGCTTTCGTCTTCCCCCCACTTCCCATAGTTTCCCCTATTTTCTGGGGAATCGATGATTCATTGTGTCTGTGTGCTTTTTCCCCTCCTGATCCTTCTCCTCCTCCTCCTCCTCCTCCTCCGCCTCCTCCTCCTCCTTCTCCCGAATCCAGCACGAGTCTGGGAGAGGATGAGCGCGGAAGCCGCGCCAGCCTCATGTCCTCGAGGAGCTCGACGGCCTCGCCGCGCGTGCGCCGCGCGCGCGCGTGGGCCACGGTCGCCTGTGCTTGCGTTTGGCGCAGTGATGGTGGTGATGGTGGTAGTGATGATGATGCTGATGATGCTGATGGTGCTGATGATGATGATAATGCTGATGATGATGATGATGACGATGATGATGATGCTGCTGCTGCTGATGATGATGATGCTGATGATGATGATGATGATGATGATGATGATGATGATGATGATGATGATGATGATGATGATGATGATGATGATGATGATGATGATGATGATGATGATGATGATGATGATGATGATGATGCGGATCAGGAGGCGGATGGATGGCTGAGGTTCCTCTTCATGCGCGGGGGAGGGGGCCAACAGAACACGATAGCACCACTTGGGATGTGGAGAAACACGCACGCTCCCCCTCCTGACCTTTCCTCCTCCTGGTCCTCGTCCTCGTCCTTCTCATCTCCATTCTCATCCTATACCCAGTCCTCCTCATCATCCCCCTCCCCCTCTTCTTCCTGCCGCTGCTGCTGCTGCTGCTCCTCCTCCTCCTCGGGCTCAGACTCGGAACGATCGCGCTGCCTATTTGTTGATCAAGGTACCCCCGGAAGCGTCCAAAGACGTCCAGAAAACTCCTCCGAGAACCTGCGAGAACGTCAGGAATCAGGAATCCTGCCATTTCTCCGGGTTTGTCAGGTGTGTCCCTGGCCCAAGATGTCCCCAATCTGGGCCTCCGCGGAAATCCTGGAGACGCCCTGGGCCAGGGACACCTCTGGCAGTCTCTGCAGAAAAGCCCGAAGCAGCAGCAGAAGCACGACACAGACATACCGATGTCTAAGGTCCGCGCGGATTCCGTGGATCGACGCTGGGCCCTCCTTCCTCCCTGGCGAGCGGAGATCGCCACGGGCGGCGCCAGAGGCGCCGTCTGGGGGGGCCCAGCGCAACTCCAAGACATCCACCCGGATTTATCTCCGAAAGAATATGTCTATGCGGTGTTGCTTTGGAGAAGACCTGACGACCTCCCAAAACCTCTTTTGGGGTCCCGATGCGGGGACAACAAGCGACCACAACCACATCGAAGACACACCCTGGGGGATGCCGAAACTGGTCGGAACACCGACACGAGCTTCGCACTTTTCGTTCAAGCGAAAACCCTGGATGTCGCCACGCACTCGCTCGCACCACGCATCGGTTATACATGACCGCGATGCGAAATAAAACATCGCCAAGCGAATCCAGAATGCCACACAAGCCGGTCGGCAATGGACAAACCCGTGCAAAGAAACTTGGCTGGGTAATGGCAGATGTGACACCAACAAAATGACGCCAAGAGCCGCCCGTGACAACGATTTCCCGGGCAGTTCCCGTGCAGAGGCGGGAAGGAGGGGAAGGAGGCGGACGAAGGCGGAGGAGGATGAAGGAAGAGGAGGAGGAAAGCCAAGTGGCGTCTGATCCGAAGTTGCCCTGACAGATATCGGGCCCGCGGCTGTTCGGCAAGTTGTGTGGGAGCTACCGCCCGAGGGCCTGAACAGCTCCAGCCAAGAATCCAGCACGACAACCAATGAGGGAGAGAGAGAGAGAGAGAGAGAGACAGACGGAGGAGGAGGAGGAGGAGGAGGAGGAGGAGGAGGAGGAGGGGGGGGAGGAGGAGGAGGGTGAGGAGGAGGAGGAGGAGGAGGAGGACTGTGTTGGTCCAGTTTGTGCGGGGCCAGGGCGGGGTGGGCAAGTCCTGACCCCCGATGAAAACGCGAACGATTGCTCGACACACGACTGGGTGCGGTGGGCGCATGCGAACGCGTCCAAAACCCGGAGAGCGAAGAGACCTCCGGAATGGGAAATCTTCCCTGGAGAGCTCTGGGGGGCTCCCCTGCAGTGCTTCGAAAGCGCTGCCAGGAACGCTTCCACGCGTGCCTGCACGCGTGCAGGCACGCGTGGACGCCTGCCGGAAGCGCTCCCGGACCCGCTGCGACCCCGGACGAGTTGCTGCGGGGATTCTGGAGCGGCGAAGCTCCCTATGGGGCCACGGAACGTGTGAGAGTGTGTCAACTGGCTTCGGTGGGCGCATGCGAACGCAGCCGCGGTGTCCGTCGGTGGAGCTGCGTGCTTGGCCATGAAACGTGTGAGGGGTGTGCCGAAATGGGTGCAGTGGGCGCACGCGAACGCTGGCATGTGGACCTTCGGTGGAGCTCCTTATGGGGCCACGAAGCGTGTGAGGCCTGCGCTAAACCAGGTACACGCGGAGGGCAGAGGCCAGGAGGGGGAGAGGGAGCAGGAGGAGGAGAGGAGAGGAGGGAAGGAGACGCGGGGCGCCGTTCCTGTAGAACGAGGACCCAACACCTTAGGATGGCTGGGAACAAGTGCGTTGCGGCCTGCTCGCGACGCGAGGATGTCACGACCACGTTTGTGGCATTTTCGCGATAGCGGCCGTTAGCGGCCCCAGCCACCCCCCTCCTCCCACCAGGTAACGTCACGATTCGTGCTGTCCTCCCCCTAGTAATGCACGTTATCGCCCGGGAATGAATAATTTCCCTGTGACGTGCCCAACCCTTTCTATACATGTGGCGATTCTACCCAGGACCACTCAATGCTGAGTGGCATTCTGAACGGTCCGCAGTGCGCAAGAAGAGCACCCGACAGCGATTCAAGAGCGCAGCAAGAAGAGGAGCGGCAACTCGCAAGCCCCCCAACGGGCGGCGAGGTCTCGAGGTGGTCCGCGTGTGACGTACCTCCGCTGGGCCTCCCAGGAGCCTACGAAAGTGCCGACAATTGGTCAGATCGCAAGCCCCCCCCAAGGGGCGGCGAGGTCTCGAGGTGGTCCGCGTGTGACGTACCTCCGCTGGGCCTCCCAGGAGCCCACGAAAGTGCCGACAATTTCGCAGATCGCAAGCCCCCCCCCAAGGGGCGGCGAGGTCTCGAGGTGGTCCGCGTATGACGTACCTCCGTTGGACCTCCCAGGAGCCCACGAAAGTGCCGACAATTGCGCAGATCGCAAGCCCCCCAGGGGGCGGCGAGGTCTCGAGGTGGTCCGCGTATGACGTACCTCCGCTGGGCCTCCCAGTAGCCCACGAACGTGCCGACAATTGCGCAGATCGCAAGCCGCCCAGGGGGCGGCGAGGTCTCGAGGTGGTCCACGTATGACGTACCTCCGCTGGGCCTCCCAGGAGCCCACGAAAGTGCCGACCGTTGCGCAGATCGCAAGCCGCCCAGGGGGCGGCGAGGTCTCGAGGTGGTCCGCGTATGACGTACCTCCGCTGGGCCTCTGAGGAGCCCACGAAAGTGCCGACTGTTGCGCAGATCGCAAGCCCCCCAGGGGGCGGCGAGGTCTCGAGGTGGTCCGCGTATGACGTACCTCCGCTGGGCCTCCCAGGAGCCCACAAAGTGCAGAACATTTCGCAGATCGCAAGCTCCCAAGGGGGCGGCGAGGTCTCGAGGTGGTCCGCGTATGACGTACCTCCGCTGGGCCTCTGAGGAGCCCACGAAAGGCCGACTGTTGCGCAGATCGCAAGCCCCCCAGGGGGCGGCGAGGTCTCGAGGTGGTCCGCGTATGACGTACCTCCGCTGGGCCTCCCAGGAGCCCACGAAAGTGCGAGGTGGTCCGCGTATGACGTACCTCCGCTGGGCCTCCCAGGAGCCCACATAAGTGCAGAAAATTTCGCAGATCGCAAGCTCCCAAGGGGGCGGCGAGGTCTCGAGGTGGTCCGCGTATGACGTACCTCCGCTGGGCCTCCCAGGAGCCCACGAAAAGGCCGACTGTTGCGCGGATCGCAAGCCCCCCAGGGAGCGGCGAGGTCTCGAGGTGGTCCGCGTATGACGTACCTCCGCTGGGCCTCCCAGGAGCCCACGAAAGTGCCGACAATTGCGCAGATCGCAAGCCCCCCAGGGGGCGGCGAGGTCTCGAGGTGGTCCGCGTATGACATACCTCCGCTGGGCCTCCCAGGAGCCCACGAAAGTGCCGACAATTGCGCAGATCGCAAGCCCCCCCGGGGGCGGCGAGGTCTGAGAGAGCGTGATCCACCGCCGTTTTACTCTGGAAAATTGCCCCCCTCTTCCTCCGGAACCCGGGGGTCCCCCGTAGGGGAACGCGAACGCCCTATAGGTCCGTTCCCGTTCCCGTTCCTGTTCCCGTTCCCGTTCCCGTTCCCGGTCGCGTTCCCGTTCCCGTTCCCGTTCCCGTTCCCGGTCGGGTTCCCGTTCCCGTTCCCGTTCCCGTTCCCCTTCCCCTTCCCCTTCCCCTTCCCGTTCCCCTTCCCGTTCCCCTTCCCGTCTACCCCCCCTAAGCCTTCTAGACGACCCAGGAAGCGGGAACGACAACGGGAACGGCAGCCTCCCACAGCCTCCAACAGCCTCCCACGGCCTCCCCAGAGAGGCCTCTCAGAGCCGCCTCCTCCTCCTCCTCCTCCTCCTCCTCCTCCTCCGCCTCCTGCTACTACCACTACCACTACCACTACCACTACTTCTACTACTACTACAACTACTACTACTACTACTCCTCCTACTACTACTACTACTACTACTACTACTACTACTACTACTATATTTCTTTACTACTACGATACTACGATGTGGTTATCGGATACTACATTTCACTATACATCTTACTGCCACTACTACCACTATACGACTAGACTAAGAATACAAGCTTCTGCTTACTACTACTACTACTACTACTATTACTACTTTTATACTATATACTACTACTACTACTAACTACTACTACTTTCTGGTACTACTAACTACTACTTTTATATTACTACTCTACTACTACCTACCACTACTACTACCACTACACTACACACTACTACTACTACTACCTACTACTACTACTACTACTTAATTACTACTTACTACTATAATATACTACCTACCACTACACTAAACTTACATAACCACTAGCTACTACTCTCTACTGAGAGGATTACCATTACTACTGCTACTACTAGTACTAACTACTGCTACTACTAGTAGTACTAGCACTACTATTACTACTACCACTACTAGTACT